TTCTGTCAAAAAAAAAAAAAAAAAAAAAAATATAAAGAAGAAGCAAAAAGAAGACTGATACGATATCCATGTAACGATCCGTTTTTTTTCCGGATTTCAATGACAAAGAAAAGTCGTCCCCTTTGAATATTTCAAGGTATTTGGTATCGTTTGTTGAAACGGAAACAAAATCCATTTGCGAGTGTAAAAGTTAAAGAGAAAAAAACAAAGAAACGAGAATGGCGAAAGCCGGTTAAACTGTGATTTTTGGAAGGAACTTCCGGCATAATAAAGCGTGTGTCTGTCAGAAAATAGTCGCGTGTACGTTTCGGATTGTGTGTAAACAAAACTTCTTTTGCTACAAAATTTTGACAATTTTTCGCTATTCGAGTTTTTTTGAAGAAAAATAGTAGTTTTCGAGACCTGACTTCATCTTACCACAACATTTTTAAGCCCCCTCTTCCTTGAGGGAGGGGGTCCCTATATACATATATATATATAAAAGGAGAAGGAACCAAAAAATTGAAATTGTAATAGCCCCGAAAAACGTTCCGAATCTTTATACCACTACACAGAGCTGTGAACCATTTGAAAAGAGAGGGTTGTAAGGCGAGGAGAGAAATCAATTTTTAGAATCCTTTATGTGTCAAACTTGAGATAGAGAATTATGCAGCAGAGAAAGAACATGCTGGGGGAAAGCAGCAACAGCAACAGCAGCAGCAGTAGTAGTAATAGTAGTAGTAGTAGTGGCAGAAACAGAAATCGGTTTTCGGGCCTTCTGGTGTTCCAGTTCTTTCGTTCGTTTCGTTGATTGTATTCCTTGAAGATTGTGCCCCCTTCCCCCCCCGTTCGTTTCGTTGATTGTATTCCTTGAAGATTGTGCCCCCTTCCCCCTTTTTTTTATTTTTTGTTGTTTCTTCTGTTATAATTACTTTTAATTCGATGATCGAATTGCTTCATTATAACAGTTCTGTATTGAAACGTTACGTTGATAGTATTACTTTTCAATCGTAGAGATATTTGATATTTTTAGTTAATATTTTTTTTCGTTTGGCTTCATTAATTCCTTCTCTTTGTCTCTTTTGAGTTACACTATCTCCTTTAATTCTTTCTGTATTTCCCTTTACGAATGCGCTTATTTCGTTCCCACTTCCTTCTTTCTTTACGTTCCACAACTAGGTTTCTAGGTCTTGAAAAATAATATTCGATACATTCGAGATTTCGAGATACGACGTTTCGTTCATTTCATTTGATTTCTTATCTTCTTAAACACGGATATATATTTCCAACACGTTCTGTACTTATTGGACGACACCTATGATAAAAATTCATAAATGACAACAATATAAAAAGAAAAGGTTATCACTTTAGATTGTCTCAGCCTAAGTTAATCGACCGTTAAACCGCGAAATAGTGGAACAAATATTTCGCTCACTGTATTAAAGAAACTCCAATTGCACGATATTATGATAAAATAAAAGAGAAACAGTAAAAAAGAGAGAGATGGGCCAGTAAATGTTTAGCCTGTTCTAATCCAGTGTATTCAAATTATTGAACATATTTAGCTTGTGGCGATATAATTACTTAAAGAAGCTTTCAAATAATCCCTTGATATCAAAGCGAGAGTTACTAAGTTACAACGGTTACTTAAGAAAGACAAACCAAACGAGAACAATTTGTATTCGATGTAAAACAGCTAAAACAATTAGAAGCAGAAAAAATCTACGAGAAAGGGAAGTGTCGAGTGTGTGTGATGTGCTTTAAACATTCTATGCTCGAAAGGTTACAAATATTCCAGGCGTTTTATCCAGTTCGAAATATCAAATATACCGATACGTAGACAAAAAAGATAACTTTTTCTGATCTTTGAACTTACAAGCTTCGTAATATGTGTATATAATTGTGCAGAGATGAGAAATTTGATAGGCAAAGGAATGCGGGTCTGATTGGTGGCTATTGCCTCACTATTGCTTAAAATTTAACAGAGCCACCTTGTGTCATACGTATTTTCGTAATTAGCTGAGATACTTATATGAAATATATGTTATATATTATATATTATACATGATACATTATATATTATATACTATATATATAGTGTCTTTTTGAAATTCATTTTTAGAAGTTCGCTTACTTTTGATATTTTCTTTTGCTCGTTCCTCTTATCGAAAGCATCTTTTACTCGTGAAATATTGGTCTTTGACCAATATTTTTCTTTATTCTTCGTTTCCTCGAGTTTTCCTTTGACTCGTAGCTATTTCGAAGCCTAATTTAACGCTCAACGCCATTAGCAATAATTAATATTCCGAATACCAATCCGTTTTTACTGGCTGGACAAATAATTAATCTTCTTTCAACTAACTTTTTACATACGATCTAAGACCAACGACGGCTATCCCATTACTTTTTGGCTCCGGCCGAAAGTTATGGGATAGCCGTTGACTGAATATATACGTGGTGCTTGCAATGACGCGTACAAGGATTATCTTTGTGAATCTTCAAAATCCGATCGAATACTAGCAATAAAAGATTATAATAGAGCGTTAAATTTCCAACGAATTTCAAGCATATTTATTTGGGTGTTACTAACAGAGTTGCTTCAAGTCGTGTCGCATATATCGTGTATATTTCAAACATTCGAAGCGTCCGACTTATTTGAAGAATCACGATTTACACGTTTTTTGAAATTGCACGAACAAGCTTCAACCAGGTTTAAGGAACCAAATTGTCTCTTTTAGACAAGCTGTATAATATTAACTATCTTCCTTTTGACGTTTTGATAAGCGAAATCTAACAAAAGTTGCAGCTAATTTTCTAATCGGTTAAACAAAATACATCGTCTTCTCTCCTTTGTCTTCGTTCTCGACCTTGTTCGATTATTATAACAAATTAACGCGACCCTAAACACTCTCAATCCTTTCTTTCAACTCTCCTCTTCCATGGGATTCCACGTACGCGTGGCATCCTATTGAAGACGAGAGAAATCCCACGTCCAGCCCCTTGCAGCAGTACTCTCCCATCCTGTGACGTACAATAACGATCTTGAACGCATGTTCTTGAAACGAGAAAACATCCAGTGACACGTAGATTCTATAATTCACGTCGAGATATCACGATTAAATAGTAATGACGTCATATTGTTAACCGTTCTAATGCAAAGTATAGTGGCGACTTGAGGCCGTCTTTCGTACATCGAAATCAAATATCCCCGCGGAGTTCCACAGTAACGTTACACAAAGTGAAACTGTACGAACAATGTGTAAAATCGAAGCGTGTCACGCGCCCCTCCTCCAACAACGATTTCACGCTTAATAACATATATTTACGATCGACAACTTTCAGAGGCCATCGGACGAGTTACGAAGAAGCTGTAACGAATAACAAAAATTAGTAGAATCACTGGTGTCAAGAAAAGGACTATGTTCAACAGATCAAACGTAAATCGCTTGCTTAGCCCTGAAATTGGCGTTTAACTAAAGGAAATTTGATAACGCACAGGTTCGTTTCTAGCAAGCATCACACATAGTACTATTGACAGAAATAGCAATAGGGTACATACACTGCTCAGATTATCTGAGAACGCGTGCCAACTAAATTGCTTTAAATTATTCCAAATTGACCAAAGGAAAAGGTCTCTAAATTCAAATAAATCGAAATATTAATTCGAAACGATTTCTTAGCGACGCAATAAATTCGTAAGATATAAACATCCGTTATTAATCTATCGGTAATTGTTGATTTGATAATCCAGTGACATCTAATTAACTGTAGTCTTCCAAAGAGATCACATCTGATCCATATCCATAGTTACCACTCGAACCAGAAGGGTAATCCTAGCTATACCTATTGTTTTTGACAATAGGTGTGGTTAGATACTATCGAGTGATAACTATGGATATGGCTCGCGATTCTCTATAATCCTATCAACGGTACATCAACGATGGCCGAATCAATCAATCCATGAAATGATTCTTGAAAAGCTTCTCAAAGAGTAAGAAAACGACAATACTAGAAACAACAATACCTTCCCTTGTTCGCCGATCAACAGCGAGAAATTAATGTCAAGAGAACCGAGCCTATGTTTCCACCTACGTCATTGGATCTATTTCCCTAACCATACGCAAAGACAGATCAAACGAACCATACGCTTTGATCCTCCAGATCCAATAAGAATCTTACGATTCATTCGATGTATCCTGCATCATCCCATGGGGCTTTGCAAGTCTAAGTTCAGTTTGCAGTAGAGTCACATCGCAATTGTCGATTACGCGATTTACTCGTACAAACATCTGAAAAAGGTCGACGCATAAAATGGTCACAAACCTGGAAGTTGTCCTTGTCGTCGATCTGGATCGTGCTCGATCCACTCGAGGGCTGAGGCGTCACGTTCCTCCAGGGACGGTAGTATCTATCGCGAAAGATCGAACGTAGAGGCCTGTCGAGGTTGAGATCGGAGAACCGTGATAGGAGTTCGTCTCGATTTAATCCTCTGCCAAAGTGTTGGTCCATCAATCTGGACATGGGTCGATCTAAATCGTCCCACCAGTCACGGAATATCAATGGCACCACCGACATCTGAAACGGTAATGAACAATGAAGAAAATCAGTAATATCGGTCAGTTCTTGCTTTTCGATTTTAGGACGTAGTATAGATCGCGCAATGATGATATATACAGGAGAAAATAACAAGAAAGGAGGATACTCCGTTTTGACACGTGGTTAAATATAATATTACAGGACAATTAAACGTTTATAACGTGAGACAGAAGTTTGACGGATTAAGAGTTAGGCTGTAAGCTGTTTTTAATTAAGAACATGCCAGGCAGATTCCTTTGAGCTTAAAAGAAAGAAAGCACGTAAACGTGTGTCAAATCGCACAATCGCCTATCGTTATTGTGTTATAATAAGGAACACGATCTAAGTAGATTCATCTCGGGCAACGGCTGTAATTAATAACAGTCCTGACACCAGAACGAAAATCACCAAATCACGATACAATTCAAACGAAAGGAACAGATTCTCTTTTATTGCGAGTCTTCTAGTATTAACGCGAGGATGACCAATTTAGGAATCTTTTTGTAAAGTGAACAAATCACTAAGCATCATGAGAGCTGTTGCTATTACCGCAGATTAGCGTAGAATAAATGTCTCGATTTTTAACACAGCAAATTACAACAATGTCGTTCCATTATTGTTTACGCGTTTCCTCGAGCGCATATTCATCGACGAATACATTAATTAGGGTCTTACTCGAACGCACAGCAAGTGATTTTTAGAAGGCTAATAAGTGTAGGAGCCGTAGCGATTCGTTCCGAATCTTTGTCGCACGGATAATCGATAATTCGTAACTTTTCCATCGAAAAACGAATAGCTGCCAGAGCGTAAGCCGAACACTATTGTCTCTCGCCGTAATTAAAGAACGTGCACATGACACAATCCAATACTCGCGTTAGCTAACTCAAATCTAATCAAAACGAATTTAACCGAAACATATGTTTAACATATTCTAAACGGGGACTTACATTCGATCAACAGTCAAAATAATTTGACATTTCTAATCGGAAATTTGAGAATCGAACATCTATAAAAATAGAAAAAGGGAGATTACTCTGTGAAGAATCGCACCGCGCATATAACATTAAGAAATTAATATTCGCGACATCAAATTGGCAAACATTTAGGAATAGAGCGTAACAGAGTTTACGTGAACCGTCCACGAAATGAGAGTATCAAAATAATTTCTATTTAGAATTGGCAAAGAATTGTGTGACGAATTTTTGTTTTATGACATCAAAGACGCGGTTGTGTTTCTTCGGTGAAGCAGAGATCTCGCCTATTAAGGGGAATCTAGAACTTATATCGTTTACAACGTGTTAGGGACGATAAAGAAGAAAAGTCTATTAAGACATTGCATTTCCATCGAATTACGCATAATGTAACTTATGCTATAGGTTTAGATTACGTGTAAGAGCCTAGGTATATAGAAGGTAGATACGACAAAAAAAAAAAAAAAGAAACGAAACAAGAGTGTACCACTCTATTCGTTTTTAGGAGTAGTCGAAGCATAAGTGGCAGGAATTGTATAAATATTCTGGCCAGTTGTACGCACGTTAAAATCTCGGCTGTAGTAAATATAAACCAGAGATGCATAAAGATCGAATAACATTTTAATTGGAAAATCGTATTGAAGAACGTACAATAATTATGTTCCTCGGCCGTCTATGTATTCCGGCAATTAAGAACGTTTACTAATTCCTACGATCAGAATACTAATCTCGGACACTAAAAGGAGATAATAACATACAGCGAAGAAAGGTAAAATATATAAGATGTTAGGGAATATTGTAGGAGGAGAAACAGTTAACAATGTATAAGGAAGGAAAAGAAGGGAAAAGCGTCGTCTTTATTAAAAAGGCGTGTCGTATGGTGTCGTAACCCAGAACTTGATAAAGAGTGTACTTAACAATTAAATCATGCTTTTCGACGATTGTATCTTAAAATGTAAGTTAGACCGCTAAGTTTCCAAATGCTACTACTACTACTAAACTACTACGTTTCGAAGTGAAACTATTATCCTCGATATCTTCATGGACGAAACTTCTCTAGTGTTTAGTAAGGGAGGAGCACGAAACGTGTACCGTATATATGCATTTCTATGGGCGTATAGTAGAAGGCGATTCTTCGTTAAGAAGCGTGTTAGTCTTTTTCATGATTAGACCGTGCGTTGATAACCATCTTTAAACGCGCGCAAACGGATAATATCGTTGACGATGATCGATTACCTTGAAGGTGGAAGGGAGAAAAAAAAAGAACATTGACATAATACCAGCGTTCCTAGGATTTCTAACGCTAATTGGATTAGGTGATACCGATACTTTTGACGCGTTAAGGGGACATATACTAGACGTGTACTTAGTCCTTAAGTACGGTTAGCTTAGGATCCTTACTATTTTAGGTTACTATTTCATACGGTGAAACGTCGTTGCGCGTTTTTTCTTTTCGTCCAACGAAAGTAAGAACACTGACCGATTTACACTCATAACGATGAAAGAAGAAAAAGAAAACAAAAAAAAAGAATATTTAAAAAATACAAAAAAAAAAAAAAGAACAAACGACCAGTAGAAGCAAACAGTATAAGCTTCCAAAACAATCAAGTACTACCCAAGCGACTTCTATTTCTTTGGAACGTGAGAAATGTAAGAGACGTGATTACAAACAAATGACAAACGGACACACACCTTTGAATACCTTTTCCTTTTTTTCGCACGTAGAAGGAGAACTTAGAGCGAAGAAATACAACGCGGTTCACAGATACGAGTATCGACTGTCTGATTCAGTCGCGGAAGCGCGAGGAGCTTAAATAGGCACGTTCTCGGGGTGCGTTTCAGACGCTTACGGACAAGAGAGAAGGAGAAAGACGAGACCGAAATTTCGGATACTCCCACGATGTTCACGTGACGTTTACTGACTCTCGTCCAGAAATACCACCCGATGAACATATTTAAATGCCGAGGAGGGGCAGAATCTCCAAGAGCGTGTAATCCAACCTCTGATTCACTGTTTTGAATAACTTTGGCACGCTGCATGTGTGGAACTCTTCTGTTTGTCTCCGTAATTTCAAGGAGACCAATTTCAAGGAGACTTAAAGGAAACCACTCTCTTTAACGATCCAAACTTTCTTTTATTGCGTAGGTTTCCAAGTTTGGATATCCCTCCGGGGTGAGAATAGATTTGAACGGAATGGGCGCAATGTTGTCGCGCCCTGATGATTATTCAATGTCAGCCTTTGATGTTATATATCTCATGATTACTGCTGCAAATCGCTGTTTGCTTGTTCTCCAAACTTGTGGTTAGGAATGCGATTCCAATCGTATATACCTGCTGGTGAGGAGTTCCATGCCTCTAACAATCAGAACGAACGTGTGCACGTGTCGATTAGAGAGAGTACTCCATTCGACCGCATGCATTTCACGGGTAATGGAGGGGTACGGGGGAGATTGTCATTTTTCAGTTTCGTGTAATGCGGAGTATACGAGGTCGAACTCTGCGTTAGAGAAACACCCAAGTGTATTTTTCAATATATTTCGAGGGAATCGTTCGAGTACGAACAATCGCTCGAGATCAGCTTGCACTCTTATCGCAGGTCGAGACAATTCCGACACTCGTGAGACTAATCTCCTGGTGTGTGTGTGTATACTGTAATTGCGAGTTCTAAATGAGAACAACTTTATGCTATTAAAATTGTTACTCGAAATAGGCTCGAAAAAAGAAGAATGTGAAAAAACCCGACGAGCTTCGAGGTTAAAAACTCGATTCTTGTCACCAAAAAAAAAAAAGAAAAAATAATTTGTGTTTTTAAATATCGAGGACGGTCTATTTACGGATTATACTCTTTATTATAATTGATAGTGTGTATTGTTACTTGCTAGGATACGTGTCATTTAATGAATTTCTTCCTTACTTAGCAAACAAGTGCCAGTAACGCATACTTGGAAGGCTTGTAATCTCTTGATTAATTCGTTACAATGCAGAATTGATTATACATTCTAACATCGTACTATTTATATGTAGCAACAATAATTCGTTGAAAACAGTTGAATCGCGAACTAACGGCACAACTAAGAAAAGAACAACGGTGCATACATACGTACAACAATAACTACGCCTCCTTGTTCAACGAGACAAGTAAAATAGAAAATGTTTGCGTAAAATAAACAAATGGATGCACGCGAGAGAGCGCTTGTTAGCGGGTAAAAAAAGAAGAAAAATATTTAGATTTATAATAATATAATTCAGGGTACGTTTGATGAATTTTAATCTTTAAGTTGATTAAAAACGCCTCGATATATAAGTAAATAAACTTAATACTATGCGGCATTATAGCGATAATATTAAATAGTAAGCTTAACAATCTTTAATAAACGATTAGGTAACGCGTAATCGACCAAATATTTACGATAATCGATGTAATATTTCTTCGAACCTTCGATAATTCTCAACGTATTTTCGTGTTTTTCTGGAATATTATGTGTTAGGCATTTGTAAGTCGATCAGAAATGTCAAAGCTGAACGGGAAACTGACAAAAATCTTCGTTACATCACATAAAGCAGAGAGATTCATGCCCGAAGTAAAAACAAACTCTGCCTCTTTTGCCCAGATTACTAACTAGGCTATAATAGTATTTTAACATGTCTCTTTGATACTGGATAAAACGACTTTGATTATTCGTGTGTTAGAGAGAACGAGCGAGAGAGAGAGAGAGAGAGAGGGAGAGAGAGAGAGAGAGAGAGAGAGAAAGAAAGGAAATACTTGTAGGTACTAAGAGGTAATTTGCCTGATATACACATTACTATTATATAATATAAATATTATTAATTAGTAATTTGTAACGATCCACACTTGTATTACTTTTTGTGACTTAGTAACCGAGTTTGTAATCAATTTGTCAGTGTTATCTTCCACGGTAATGGCTTTCACCGGAAGCGCTACATTTTTTCCCCGCTGCTTACGTTACAGCATACGAAACTTAACTTTAGATCCATTACTATTAATTAACATTTATTATTATACATATATACCGACATCACACGATGTATCTACACACACATATATATACTTGACGTATTACGGCAACAATATTTATGAGTGTTAGATTTTCCTCATAGGCATCGTACAATTAAAAACTAGACTTTCTCTATGTGTAACTGTAACAAGAAATATGTCGAGACGAACATAAAAACTTTTGTCCAAGAGAGAGCATATAATCCACACGCGCGAGAAATTCTTGTCGATCCAAAAACGAAAGGTATAACGCACTCCGATATATTAGTATCTTCGTTCCGCAAATTATGTAACACAGTATCTGTATCGCCTAGCTGTTTAGGCCCATACCACTTCCTTTTATTGGCTGAGAGAAACAATAAAGTGAAATCTGACGTCAAAAAAAAAAAAAAAAAAACAAGCGAGTTCTTTTCAATTAAGCTCAATTCTCCTTCCTTAGGATAAAAAAAAAAGTAATAGAATTTTTTCCTTAAACGTTAGGGTTGAAAAACCTAGAATATATAAAGTCTTAAAATGTTCATCGATAAAACATTAATAATTGAAATGACGTGTATTGAAAACTATGCAAAAATTAAGTTGAAGCTTACGGTCAAGATTTAATTGTATAACGAAAAGAAAAGAGAAAGAGAAATTAATTCATCTTACGGTTAAAAAGGTCCAATGTAAATAATAATTGTTAAACTCTGTTATGTACTTGAACTTTGAGCATGATCAAAGTTCTTTAGGTTTCACGGTTGGAAATAATTTCAGTGGGATATGTTTACCGTCATACGGGAAAAGAAATGAGTAAAGAAAGAAATATTTTTCATGACGGCGAACCATTTCGTTTCGTGGTGTCATGAGCCTAAAATAGATGGACTTTCACGAAAGTGGGTAGGTAGAAGAAGAGGAAAGGATGTAATAAGACAGAGTGGTTGAATTACATGTATTTTCTAAAAAAAGGCTTACAACTGTACGACGTGTGTCGTATATTTATTTATCTCTATTCCTTAAATATAACGAATATTTTACAAATCGTTTGTACGGGGTTATTGTATTTTGGGACGGACGAAAGAGTATAAGAGGGACGATTGATTTCCATGGGTCACGAAGGTAGCTGGTATATTCGAAGTTCGGGGAGCTCTTGTATCTTTTCGATGTCCGGTAAAGTTGATATGCCTCGATCCTGATCACCAACGAAATAGAAACTCGGTACAATATTTTCTTAACTTTTTCGCTTATTCATGAAAGAAATAGTTCTATTTTTGGAATATAATCGAATTTAGATAGTGCCCTTAAAGAATAGCAGTAAAAGTTGAACGATAATACGAGATTGTTTGAGAAGCAAGTGTGAAGTTCAAGACACAAGAATAATTGTATGACGTTAATATTTTCGAACTTTTTAACAATTGATAAAGAAAATAGTTCGTTTTATTTACCGAGTATAACTGAGTTCAGTAAAGTTTTGCAAGAATAGTGAGAGAAGTCGGAGAACAATACTCGTACAAAATAGTTCAAGAAGCGAGAGTAAAATTCAAGAAACAAGAGTGGTGAAATTCAAGCACAGTACTATTTGTGGTTACAAAATTTTTTAAGCTTTCTAATTAGTGATAATTTTGCTCCGTTTTTCTAATATAATTGAATTTCGTGAAGTTCTAAAAGAGTAATACAAAACGATCCTAAAAGCAAAAGTCAAATTTGAGACACAAGACTAATATTGAAGCACTATGTTATTAGTATTTACAAAATTTTTAAACTTTCAGTAAGTACAAGTGTCAAAAGTAAGACTCAATCACTGTATCTTTCATCTTCTTTGGCTGTTGATAAAAAAAGAATAGTTTCATTCGTTCTTTGAATATGGTTAAATTTAGAGATTGCAGTTCAAGAAACAAGAGTAAAATTCAAAAATTAAATAATTCCTTACGTTATATTCTTTCCATTTCTCGTAATTCTGCCTCATATATCCCACCATCTCTGGCATGTCGATAAATGCTGAAAATAAAACAGAGTTACGCGCTGCACAAATACAAAAATACGTCTGAGCAAAGACGTAGATGCATCACTGACCATCCCACGCCTCGACCATGTCGTTGATAATGAAATCGACGAAACCGATTTGCGCTTTTGGTATCGAACACGTTGCTCTATCGAACATTGGCATCAGTACCGGCAGTTGCATCCTTTTTTCTTCGTCAGTCTGTAATAAATTATAAAATCAAATCGAAGAACTCGAACATGCGCCCTTGGAATTATTTTATGGATAAACTTTTTTTTAATATTTAAAACCAACGACACCTCTAAGCGAGGAAGAATTAAGCAAAAAAATAAAAAATAAAAAAAGAAAAAAACACGAAACATTGTTTTGAAGTTCAAGAAGTATAATTATATGTACATACATACATAATTATGAAGAGGATATATTATAATTTAGAGAATTTAGTTTAATTTTGTCTTTGAACTTTTACGCGCCAATCTTATTCCGATTTCAAAAAATAGAAGGACATATTATTTCATAAAAAGAAAATTTTCGGAGTAATTTTTGAATAAAATTGAAAGGAAAATCACGTGTATGTATATCGCCTCTTATATTTTTCTTGAATTTAAGACATTTGTTAACAACAGAAACATTTAGTGATTAAGATAAAAATGACAAGAAGAATGTTGCAAGATTAATAAAAATCTCTGAATTCCAACGGTGTAAATAAATCATTCGTATCTTATTGAAGTAATAGTACCTGATTAAAATACTCTTCTGCGATACGTCTGGCCCATTCGACGCAACATTTCAATGGTCGAGTCGGATTCGACACGTCCGCGCATTTGATCATCATTCTTTTAACCAATACTACATTCTCTGGCTGTAACACAACTGACATATCCACGGTGTCCGTGTAATCCTGCACTCAAATTTTAGGGAGATTAATAGGACTGCTTATAAGAAACCATAGTGTTTAATATCGAGTAGAAATGACTTTGAAATAGATTTATAAAAAAATAAACCAACTGGCAATTGACTGAGTTTGAAGTTTAATCAAGGAAGGATAAAAGCCAGAAAGAGATATAAATAGGCACATTACGTCTAATTGTGGGCTGTCCATCATCCTTGCACTGCAAATATTCATGAACTTAGCCAGATGTTCGAAATGTTTCGTCATCTCGGTGGCTAGGATCATGTCTATCACTGTTTGACGAAGTTGTTTATAGGTGTCTCTTTCCAAGTTCTATAAAATTAAATAATCGATCGTAACAAAATATCTCGACTTTCAGGACTAAACAAAAATGTATAAACTCGACTGTTTTTTGAAACTCACTTTGAAAATATTCACATTGTCATCCGACAGTGATAATTTAAAAGTTAGTGCTGCATGGTGTGATTCAAGGACGGATAGATCGTTGTAGAGAATCGCTAGTTTATTGTCAGAGTTGCAAAGAAATTGACTGAAATCGATTAGAGTATTGAACGAATATTCGAGACATATAGTTTTAAAAAATTACTTAGATTAGTTGATTAGTCGAAGTAGAGCTTAATTTACCTAGATCTACCCGGATGATCGACGTCGTGAGCAGCAGCCGCAACCAGAGTCGCGACCTCGTCCAAAGGTTCCAAGATCTGTTGCAGCCTTTCAGACTGCATGAATCTAGCAGTAGCTTGTAACACATCTGCAGCGTGCGTTGAATTATGATAACTATTTCGACTCTGATAATTCATCTCGATTACGGTTAACCAGTTCTGTACGACCTTTTCTTCACAACCGAGTCTGGCAGGCACGCGGTACATATTCATGATGGTCGTCCCCAAAAAGAGTAGTGGCCTGCAACCGGATAAATTAATTGATAGAAGTTTAATACTTAATTAATTCTATACTTAGGAATATTATAAAAAAATGTATAGGTATATCAACTAAAACAATTTTCTTTAGAACCAAGTACCTTTTTTCGGTTAATATTTCTAGTTTGAATATATCGAAATTCCATTCCAAACATCTTTCCAAAATTTCCGCGATCTCCTGAGGCCCTCTGAAACTTTTGATTTGCATACGCGAGGCAGTAGTCGTAGTGAAAGCCTTTGACGTCGAAACTCGCGTCGATTCAACTGATGATCTCCTCGATTCCCACGCTTTCCTCGGTGACTGTGTCGATTAATATTAAAAAGAAAAATCAATCGTTAAGAAATCAGTCGCAAAATAGTCGATACGTAGAAAGAATATTTTATAATTTGAATATTACGGCAAGCAAGGCCCCGACGAGATCGGTTGTTACTGGATCGGTATCTTCTCTTAGGGATGGCACATACAGTTCGGTAGTTTTGAGAATATCAATGGCCTAGGTAATTAATTAATATTTATTACGTTAAATATAAATATTTCAGGTTCCATTATATTATCTTATTATAAGTATCTCAAAGTAAAATTTGTAAGGAAGAAGGAAAGGGAAATGTACCTTTTCGATTTGTGCTGCTGTATCAGGGGTCGTAGATTCGGTGATCGCGTTAGAAAGAAGGCTGATCACTTTTGTAATGGGTGCATCTAATTGCAAACTGTGTAACTTGTGTGCACTGGACCGCCTGCGGCCTGCAATTCAATGAAAATCCTTATCGTTTCGTGGAAAATACAAAAATACTGATCAGTCGATCAGTTGCGAACATACGAACAAATTCTACGTGCAGTGTTTTTAATTTTATGATGGTCATGTATCGATATTCCAGAGACTGAAATACAGATAGTTCGATTGACTGGAATGTATCTTGAAAACATGTAGTCAGAACTTTTATTCTTCCTTTCTCTCGAATTTCAACCTATTTCCAAGTTGTATATGATCGATTGAAATATTTATCTCTTTTGAAAACAAGATGAAAGAATCGAATTTCAAATTATTTTTATGTCTTGTATAATTGTGATCGAGACTTACTCAGAAGATCTAAAATTAGCTGTTTAGTAATTTTAATTAAATGATTCCAACGACGAAATGTCTTTTATTTCTATGCCGAGACAAAAGACGAAAGTACTAGATTAGTTTCAAGTTTCTTACGAAACATTAAAAAGCCACGAATTCTAAATAAGAAGTTGAAAGTGAAAATATTACCCTCGCTGGACTTCATATCAGATGTCCTTCTCTGAGACACAATCATGTTTCCTCTCGAATACACGGACTGTGACGGAGTCGGGCTGAGCGAGCCAATATTTTCCGACAAGTACGTCGTATCGTATATATAAATATAATGAGTCGGTTTTCTGAAAGAAGATAGAAAACCATTGGTAGAACAGACGAGTAAAAGAAAGATAGAAAATAACGTATTCTACGACAAAATGGATAAATTCCGAATTCACTTACTTCAAGTTAATACTGAAAGGTATCACCCTGCAACTGATTGTGATCATTTGATTGTTCTTACGTTTACAATTCATGTTCCCTTCGAATTCCCGGCCTTTGCTTATGTGTTGTTCCATTAGAACAAAATTATCGTAAACCACTATATCCGCGATGCTTTTCCCCAAGATTTCGCTGGTCTTATAGCCTAGTAACTTCTCGCTAATTTTATTAACAAACTGTAATCAAAAAAGCACACGATATATGGTCGCTAACGCCGAATATATAATAAACGAGATACAATTAAAAAGATTTAGATATCGATAATTCTTTTAATAATTTTATGAACCGTTCAAAGTCTTGAAAAATATATGCATGTTTTTAAATTAATATAATAATATGTAGAGTAATAAAAAAAATTGAGGTACAATCGTCGTGATGAATATTTAAAATGTCAAAGATGTGGGTCTTTCATTAATTATACACGAATGAAACAATTAAGAACTCGTATTACCTGTACAATATGTTTATCGTTCGTCACGTGTACCATGTCGCGGCATCTGTCAAGAGCTACATACAGCGCGTTGGCAGCCGCCAGTTGTGTCCTTGGTAATAGCGCACTAGCATAAATTCCTACTAGTTCGTTTATTAAGAGTCTCTCGTGGGAACACTCCATTAGAGCCTGAAACGAGTCCCCGAATACTATGCGTCCATAATCTTATTTAAAACAGTTAAGAAAAAGGAGAAAGACTTCATCAAGGTTAAAATCTGAGTCTTCCAAAATTACTCTAGAAACTCACTCTGCTGAATCCTGTCTCCAGTAAATCCAGCGTCACAATTTTATCTTTCTCGCCGTGCATAAGGAACCTATTATAATACCAGCACGAAAGGAAAATCAGAATTATCATTTGAAGCAAAAGATCAGAAAATTGTATAATCAGGAAGATTCAAATAAGTATAAATCAGCTTACGATTTCTTTACAAGTGCTATAATAATGGAATTATGGTAAGCGGGACTAGACCTAATCGCCCTGAAATAGATCGTATTTATTAGAATATAAAGTCGTACGTCCGAGGAATTTGATTGATTTTTAAAAAATAATTCTCCGTACCTACAAATCGTATCGGCCTCTGCAGCGCGTTGCCCTCGATGATCGATGATCACTAGCTCGTGACCTCGATTTTGAAAGAATTCGACCGCTTTTTCCGCGTCTTTCGCCACCGACACGCTCCATCCCAATCGCCTCGAAGTGGTGGCGAGAACGTCCATTTGTTGGTCATCTTTGGGGAAGACCAGTAATATCTGACACGTTCGAAGAATTTATTTCATAGTGAATTATAATCCCAAAGAATTTGTACGATTTACGAGTGACACGTAGAAATATTTGAACACTTGTCTATCGTAAAAAGCTTTTACGAATATTAATATCAATATATGCATATATAATATGTGGTAAAAAACATTTAGAAATTTTATTATCACTGTAACGAGACTCGGCTGCGATGATTATATTGGTCAAATTTAAAACTAATCTAAGAAAGTAACATGAGTAGCATCACCACTTGTTCCTACTTTTCAGTTTCTCTGATTAATAGATGAAGTATTTTCACGTATTTCGTAGCTTCTAATATATTCATATTTCCAATCTTATTTCAAATTTCAGTGATACAACCATTATTTTTCCACATTACAGCGCTAATGAAGTTCCAAATAGTTTTATACAACAGGCGTAACATATTCATAGAAATTTTTTATTAGTGTTGAAATATGTTCGTGAGCACACTGTATATGACTAATACTATTAGTCAGGAAACGTAAACAGGCTTATCTATCGCTGGATACATTTAATTGCAACGATAGGAAAAGAAGTTTGACTTACTTTTATGAGACTAGGAACACTGTTCGTTAACGGATGAGCTTCGATATTTTGCGGTCCTTTCTGAAATAAGACAATAAATGATGAACTTTGTAACATCAACGATTAATTCAGCGATCTTAGAAGTCAGCCTCAGATTAAATTTCTTTTCTTTTTTTTTTTTATTAATACTACAATTGGCCAGGCTCGTTCAATTGTGCACGTACTACTAGCACGGACTCGCTAAAGTAAAGATCCGTTGGGAGATCTCGGATAACCTTAGCTCGTCTTCGTGTACGCGGTGATCCTTTTAATGTTTTACTTTCTTCATGTTGACGTTCCGAGCTTCGCATTCGTATTCGACTACGTATTGCTTGATTTTAGATGGTGTGGAATCGTGGTGTAACCTATACATGTTAGGAATCGCGGCAAAGAAACAAACAAGTCTGAAGTTAACACGTATAAGAGCGAGACGTCGAAATTGGTCATTCGATTTGAAGAAATAAATTTCCCGATAACTCTTTCGATTAGTTGACAATTTTTATTTCGTATTAATTCAAATTATTAGAAAACTATCTAAATTCAGAGACACTGAACATCCTTTTTCGTTATTTCTTTTATATTTTGTCCTTCCTTCAAATCTCTTTCGACCTAGATTCTTCGACTATAGGACAAAGTACCTCTCCCTGTCGAGCTTTTATTCTGAGCGCGCGAAACGTCCCAAGTACGAGGTACAGTTTGATCAATCGATACTGAAGTGATCTCGAATCTCCTTCAGAATTGTTTGAAAACGTATCTTGAACACGGAGCATGCGCGCGCAATGATGATAAACGAAGAAACATTCTGGAGAGGAAGTCCCGTTTCAGTGTCTAGAAGTTATTATAAATTGAAATTACATAGAAGGATCAGTTACATATATTCAAGCTATACATATTGTATACATTCTGGTAGTTGTAATAAAAATTTGTCCTGATTGATTGGATTATTTTCTGTCGCCAAAAAATATGTAGGAAATAAAAGCACGAAAGGAAATTCAAAATCGACTGGAATTCAGAACATTGTATAAGATAATATGGATTACAAATTCTAGGATACATGAAGATTGAACAGTGTTTTATGATTACCAATTCTTGGTAATCATTATCGAATACCAAAAGCCATTTTCTGTAAAACAAAGTATTTAGTCAGAAAGTGTATAAACCGTAATAAAAGTTCTTCCTGTTTGATACATCGTTTATTTCTACGAAGAAGCACGCGAAAAGAAGATAACTCGAAATCTTTTTATCATTAAACATTTTTTCAGGAGGATTACGCTATATCAAAAGATAATTCTTCAAAATTAATGAAACGATATTTTATAAATGGATATTTATAAATTTATTAAGATTGACGAAGGGTAAAATATATTTTAGAAATTGATATCCACAAATAGATATTGAAAAGTCAGCGGAAAACTGAATAAATATTATACGAAAGAATCTTCAATTACGTTTCACAGAGGTTTTCTGGTACCTGTGTCGGCGACACAAGCGACGGAGGTATTTCGTTTACGTGTATTATGTCTCTGTTCGTGTCCCATTTCTTTCGAAAGGGATCGCACAGTACGCGGGTGATCCAACTGTACCATGTAGATGTCCCATGGATATTCGCGTCCTCGGTCGAACCGCAGACGTAGATTTGTATCTGCGTCGACCGCCTCTTATTTATTTCTAAATCGATCATTAGTACGAACGTAATAGAAAATCGTTAATCGACACAAACGATGCACCCGATCTAATCCATCAATGTACACTTGACAAGTAATAATTACGCATAATTAATCTCCCATACGAATTAGGTCGTGCGAGTCACAATTGTTAGTTCACGAATAGAAAATTGAGTTTAATTAATCGATTGTTCCAGTTGTTTACATTATGCGTTAATTACATATTCACTCTGTAGTGGAAAGAAAAATTATTGTTCAACGAGGTTTATAGCTTACAGCGTTGTTGAAATACGCATTCACGGAAAAACATGCATCACGATACTGAATCGAAAATATCGTGGTTGATCGAGATTATCCTTTCCACTCTCTATCAGGAGCAAAAGCTCGACTTTATCTGCGATAAAGAAGCTCTTCCAAGAGTGTCTTTGTACGATTATCGATAGTGGATTGAATAAACAGTTGATAAAAGGAGCTACACAACACAGTTGATCGATTGGAAATAAATGATATCTGCGATTTTTACGAAGCTATTGAAAAACTCATAGACTCAATGACATTGTAATTTTCTTAATATAGCTTGATAAGATTACTCATATATAGTAAAAGCAATTTTTCAACCATTTAAAAAGATGAGATTAAATACGACTAGCTTTCCAACTTATTAAAATATCTATTGATGAATAATTTTAGAAACGAAAACGAACGCAAGAAATAATTCGAGGTACAGGCTGAATGATTTTAATTCAAACAGTTCCTATGGAATGGCGTGCTTCCAAAGGGTAAAAAATAGTCTCCACTGAAAACCAGATTTCTTTACAGTAGTTTATTATAAACTTTCCAGACACAAACATCAAAAACATCTCCTCGCTGCGAACGTGCTCACTAAACCATCTGATAATTGAATGTTTCATTAGCGCTTACGCTCACCATTAAATCAAATTAAAACGAAACAAACAGTTCGGACTCGCAGAAAAGAATCTATTTAAAAAAAGAAACCTACCGTCACGAAAATAATCTCATTGTCAGCCAATACTTTATAATAAATTTCAAAGACTTTAAAATCAATACTAAAACACGAACAAAACCACGCGAACTCAGAACAAACAATCTATTTAAAAAAAGATCTATTGTTACAAAAATAATATCAGTTAATAGTTTGTATCACATTCAGACGACCTTAAAATCAGTTTATTAGCAATTTATTACGTATTAATTTAATTAGAAATAGGGAAGAAAAGACTAGTTAAATATCGGAATAATTAAAAAAAAAAATTCCTCGATAACGTTAATTATCTACGTCTTAAAGCGAGCAAACAAGAGCGAATGAACTTCCTAAAATTTTTCGACGAAAAATTGTGCAAGATAGCAGTTCCGGTATAACCACTCGTTCAGCTTCTTTAGCTGCGCCATTGGTGTCTATAGACTGTCTATAGACAGTAGCTTATACCCTGTCTATAGTCAGTCTGTCTGACCAAGCAACGGGAGAAGCTCGAGCCTAGTGGCGTACATCGTGTTTCTACTAAGAGAAAGAAAAAGACACGGTGTAGGATTGAAATAGGTTGTCGTTGAATAATTCGTTCGGACGAGAATCAGAGCTCGACAGACTGATTAAATATTCAGGGTGGTTAGGTCGTATCATGATGATTTTTCGTCGCCGCCCCTTTTGAAACTTCCATGAAAACAGTTGACGTAACATTAATGAGACCGCACGGTACGCTGAGAACTTGCCACATGTTCGAAACGAAACAGTTTTAAATTACTTTTTTCAGAGAGGGTTAATTGCTGATGAGCGAGCAAAAGCTTCGTGATTCGTAAGAAAAGAAAAAACCGATACCGTGCGTTTCCAAATCGATTATTCTACTTTTTTTTTCCTGCTCTCCTTTTATCTTGTCACGATAACCATAAACTTTCTTCTATTTTCTATTTCCGGAGATCGAATGAAGAAAACTTTGAAGGTTTGGATGGAATTTTGGAGAAATAATTTTTGCTCCTGATCGTGGAGGATTGTGCAGTTTGATGTTGTCGATGAATGATGAAGGATGTGGAGATCGGATTGAGAAAGTTAAGGGGGAAGTTAAGATTTGGAAGGAGGGGATAGTTGAAGGATGATTTGATTGAATAAAAGTCAATAGAAATGACACTGGAATGATTGATGTTTGTTGTAATGGTTATTGAATTGTTTTGGAGTAGTTTACAGGCAGCAGGCATAAAGTAGAAAGTTCATAGTACTAAAAAATAATTTTGAGGCCTATATTTATGCATGATCTTGAGATTTCATGTGTTTTCTCTTGAATGCCATATCGGTAGTTCGTTATAAAATTTTTTTATGGATTGAAAATTGTCAGTTAAAAGAGCAAAGTATATATTGTAATGTATTAAATGATCATGGATTTAAAATGACATGATACGATGTTTGAGAGCTTAGAATGTCTACCCATGAATGTATCGCTAGTTTTTATAACTTAAAAACTTGAAACAGCAATAAGAATAGTTAAAAGCAGTAATCTAAAAATTGTCAGTAAAAAAGACAAAGCAAAATTTAAGTTCACTGAACGAAAAATTGAACGAGTACCAAAGATTTTAAATAGAATAGCATTTTATGATAGTTAATCGACTACTTTGCAATTGTAATATATAAAAAAAACAATTTAATGGCCACAAAACACTAACTTAACAATTATCCAAAAAAGTTTTCAATCTAGCGTGAGAAAAATATAACCAATTGTAGCCTGTTTTTTTCTTTTTTTTTTTATTGAAATCAACAAAATTTTGATTATGTTATAATAAATAAAAAATACAGTTTAAAGGGATATATCGTGATCGAAATACAGAGAAGAGAAAAGGTGGGCACAGGTGAAAGGGCACAGTCCAAGAATATCGATCGATAGTGGCATCGTGAGATATATTTAAAGTAGGTTAAAGTACAAAAACAGATAGTCGAAAGGAACGTGGTATAAAATGAAACGACTAAAGCATAAAACGACGTAGTAGCAAATAATTAAAAATATGCAATGCAAAACATAATTAATGGCTACAATGAAAGCAACTACACTGGAATTTAACAGGTCATTATCTTAACAAATTGTTGACTAACGATAAATATACATGTCTCCAGTACAATTGATTCTAACGTTACTAAATTATGTCTTCGTTACGAAAACATATATGATACGAAAAAGTATGTTTCCATTATGATTAATAATTGATAAAAAAAAAATATTTTCCTACGCATCAAAAAATATTGGAAGCAGAAAAATTGACTGTTTGCCGACATTATATTTTGCAAAAGTAATTATAACAATTATAATAGAGCATCGTGCGAAAGATAGTAATAAGCAGCAATTAGATTCGATTGCCTTTCGTTTATTATGAAAAATTCAAAGTGGAACATTGCTTGTACGCCGTTATCTTAGATTGGAGCCACTACACGTAAATCTAGATTATTAATACGGCGAAATGCTTTATACGTCATCTATCGTCAAAGCGTTGCGCCGATCTCACTATTCGATAAGTACATTTAGTTTCTGTATCAATAATATTTTTCCATTTTTTAAATTAACAAGCCAACAAACGTTGGAAAATAGTTTTAAACGTCTTCCATTTGGCAAAAGAATTATCTAATATTGAATGTACGTAGACGTCCGGGATGCAATAACGATAACAGAAATTTACTTACTAACGCTGAGCAATCTGCATTTTCGTCGTCATCAACAGCGACGTCTTCGAACGACGATCTTCTTCTTAAAACATCGTATTCTGTTTTCCCTAAAAATTAAATACATTATTATATATAAGTTAAACTTTAGTTACACAACATGTTATCTCAAAATAAAAGAAAAGGAATTTAAAAAGTGCATCAAAAAAAATTAAATATCAGATAGTATTTAAATATTAGTATGTTTATATGTGCTGCAGCAACGAGACTTTCTTGAAATGATTCATTAATCGAGTAGTTACTAGTTGATATCTTGACAATAACAAGAATTGTTTAACAATCAGATTATCAACGGGCCGCCACGACAAAATCTGTGGGTCAATAGATCAATAGTTAAATGACAATAATTAATTGACAATTCAATGGACTGTTTTCAACTATCTTGTTGCTATGACAGATTGCACAATTAATCGATCGTGCTCCTTTTATCTTTAATATGAAATCAATTCATTGGAATGATCTCTCAAATACCATTATACTATAAAGTGCGTTTCAAATTTCTTCGCGAACTCTTTATGTGTTTCTATGAATATTTTATTATAGAAGATATTACAAGATGAATTGCATTTGATTTGAATACCAAATCTTTTTTTTTTTTATGAAGTATTTATATCTTTATAGTGCACAGCGTATAATCAATATATTATATAACTGAATAAAAATTTGTATGGCACTTAACTGCTATAAATATTCCGTCAAATTGGATAATTAAAGTTGACAAATTCGTGGGAGCAATTCTATAATATAAAAATGAGCAAATCGAAAGAGGGTGTGTGTGAACGAGGTCGAACATATACCTTATCTTCACCTTTTATGGCAGGATCATTCAGCATTTATCGTTCGATTCGAATGGATCAGAGTTTAAAGATAATTGATCGAAAGTAGGGCGCCTTAATTGGACAACGCGAGCAAGAGTTAGTAGGGACAAAACAAACGCCATCGGTTTAAACTAAAATCGACAAAGTATACCATAGAGAACTGTGTATATTGTATAGGTATACATATTTTCTTGATCAGTAATGAGAATTTTTATAGCTATTGATTAAATTGATCCTCGATTCATGCCCTTTCTTATGGCGCTCAGACTAAAGTAATTCCATTCTTTCAGCTTGTAGAATTACATAATATTCAAGTACGAAAATGTCAAATTTGACTATCTATAGAGAAACAAATATTGTGATTTCTTGGCTTGTCCTTTATATTCTATAAAAACGGTACAGCTATTACTGATCGCATTTTTTTTAAATTGCAAAGTGTGAATGTGTGGAGTGGCATAATATTTTATCGGACAATAAAGCTCTCTCTTTATTAAGAAAATTAAAAAGTATCGATACGAGAAAGAATACCTTGATCAAAGAAATAAATTTTCTAGCTTATTGACTCGTTCTTAATTTTTACGAAAATGTTAAAATTACTATTAATCGCAGTTCGCTGGAATTGAAGAATATCAATATGCAGAGTCTTACGATATTCATCGAAGCGAAGAGTTTTCTCCCTATCGATGAAACTAAAGAAAGTTGATATAGGAGAGAATATTTCAATCAGAGAAACAGATATCGTGTTACTTCTTGACCCGTGCTTAATAATTGCGTAATTTGTCTGTGCTGGTAAGAAAAATTACACGACTTTTTTCAATATAAAAGAGAAACTACTGATATGATTACGTACCATTGCTAAGTAATATGTCATCCAGAATATTTAATCCTTCGTTTGGAAAGAAAGAGTCATTCGAAGGAGATGCCATATATGAATTTATAAATAAATAATCACAGTGTCGTCTGGCTGTTTATTAAAATGTATACAAAAATCTAAGTTGATGCTCGGTACATATTTGAAAAATCGGCAATCAACTGTATGCAAATTGTGAAATGATCGATTTTTCGATTACGTAGATCAGTGTCAAAATAAAAATATAAAATTCTATTATATAACGAGTTCAGTTACATCGTATTTTTATAGACATTTAAATCGTCTGTTTTTCGATTCACCACAGTCACCAAGGTAATTAAAGAAGTTTATCGAATCAGCTTCGAAAATAGGAAAAACCGAAATTAAAAGATTTGCGAACAAGTGCACTCGGCCAAATTCCTTGCGACCTCCGATATCTTCCAATCCTTTGAATTACACTGTCCATGTCCACCTACTACTAGTCACGATACACTTCGGGAGAAAAGAAGAAATGATTCCTTAAAAGTTTAAAGATGAAAATCACAGTTAAGAAAGTTCAAGAAATCCAGGGGGAGAAATCGGCGCGCGTATAGCGAACGATGCGTTGTAAGCGGCTCAAAGACAACGACTGGTCGACGGAACCAAAATGTGCAGGTTAAAATTCTACGCGTGAGTGAGTGGCCTCAGAAACGAGATAGGGTCGTTGGAGAAACTCGTGGTACAATAGCCGTGTATACTCGTTAAACACGAACACGCTCAAAGGAACACGACCGGCCGAATAAAATTTCGCAATTAGAGACGCTCGTTAATTATTTTCTTTCTCTTGCAAAAGTGCTTCGAGCAATGACTGTAATTGAATAAACTGTAATATTACCGTTTCTTATAGAGATTTTGTAATTAAAAAACCATCGCTTTAACGAGACAATGTTGCCACGGATACATTGATATCAATAATATTTGTATTTGGCTGTTACGTTGAAGATATCTGCTTGGTATTTTTGTGCCTGCTGTTTTAGTTTTGATAAATAACGGCAATCGATTAGAGAGTTTAGAGTATTGTACGATTGAAACGAAATATCAAGGAAATTGATTTCTTTCTGATAAGTGTGAGTAGGACGTGCAGTTTGTGAAATGGTGCTTGTAGAATAATTGAGATCAATGAAAGCTATGTTTGAGCAAATGTTTGTCGTCAAAGGTGCACGCTAAGTGCATTGCTATTGTGTAGATGTAAAGATGATGTTTATTCATTTGAAGTCGGTAAATTGTGAATATTCTAGAAGAGAGTCTGATAGAGTTTGAACGAAGTTACTAAAATTTTACGGATGAATTAGACAATTTTTCCTTCGATATCTTGGATAATGTCTATGAGATCGTTCGATGAAAATTGACGCTTGAAGATGTCAGTATTGGAAACGATGTCAATTAAACAACTGAAGATGGTAGTACAGATTTCAAGTAAATTTCAATCGAGGGTATTAGTAAAAGTGTCAATTAGAAAGTTAAGGAGAAAGTATTTCGAAAATAGTTCAGATTCAATCTAACACGGAAGAAAAACGTTGGACATTTCTCTTTGAATATCTTACGCAATGGTCACAAGATTGGTCACAACGAAGCTTACGTTTAAATGAAAACCGAGGTAAGACGTTTCGATTAAACAAATAATAAGAAGCTATTTTTCAGACATAGTCCAGACTAAATCTAGTACGAAACGAGATATTCCTAGCCACAGATATCTGTCCATTCTAGTAAATTATCATCTAATTTCTCTCTTACATTAAACGTACACACTGTGGCCAAATATAATCTCAGATGCTTCGATCGAAATACGTTAGACTGTTATAAAAATTCGCATATTTCAAAAGAATACAGGAAAATAGAGCGCCGAGTAAAACAAACGAGAAGCTTCAAACTTCGCAGTGCATCGCTACTTCAGTTTTCAGATTGAAAGAGCAAAATATTTTTTAATTCATATGTTTTCCTGCAAGATTTCTCTGCCACTTTCAAGCAATTTGAATCAAAATGTGATAACGTTTCGTATTTGAATAAAAATATAGGAGAATCGGATGCTAAGTAAAACACAAGGCAAACTTCAAAAATACACCTCTATTTCGGCTTTCAGACTAAAGGAGTAAAATATTTCCAAGCTGATACTTTTTTCTGCGTGATTCCTCTGCCACTTTGTCCAATGATAATTTCCAATATTTGAATCACATTTACACCAAAAACGTAACTGGATACTGTCTTACTCTAAATTAATATCTTGAAGATTATTAAATTACGATTTCAAATTAAGATTCTCTTACTGATCGAACTTTTAGAAAGACAAAAGTTGCGTTTCTTTTATTAGTGAGCTTCAATGACAAGAGCAGAACAATGAATAACACATAGCTGATTTGCTTGCACGCTCCCGAAGGTCCGAATGGAATTGCCATCTGGCATTATCTGTGTCTGATTTGCATTCGTAACCATCGACCCAAATATATGTGGCTCCCTATCACAGAATCAATATAGCGTTTCGACATTGTACCTTTGTGGCTTGTATGATAGAGCTTCTTGCTTACAAACAACCGAAGTAACGCGTTCTGCTTCGGGGATATTCAAATGGATGGATTTTAATGAGGAGGTGGATGACGAGTGAGAAAAGAATATTTAATACGATATCGATATTTTTGATCAATTCGTCGTGAGTATATAAATTGGAAAGGATATATAAATTGCATGGCATCTAAATATTTAAAGAATTCAGATAAATATACTGCAAGGAGTAAAAAAATTCGTTGCACGTGTTTTAGAGCTTATTTTCAAGACGGAAAATTGTAAAGTTCTTAGTAAAAAATGAGAAGCAAAATTTATATTCATTCAATAGGAATAAATTTAAATGGCACTGGGAACTGTATGTAGTATTTATTTGACGATGCTCGAAGAATTTCACCCCCTCCATTCGACTATTAATAACGTTAAAAACAACGAGAGACAGTGGATTGTTTCAAAGATTCTAAAATTAGAACTAATACAAGCAAGAAGTATTAACAAGTGTTAACAAGTACTACAGTACTAAATCTTTATAAGTTATCCTCCGCTATAAGAATTTTCAAATAACATTTGCTCTCTATTAAAACGCCGAGAAAGATCAGACGAAATCTAAAAGAAAGCTCAATCTATAAGCATTTCTTTCGACAATGTTGCATCAAAGTCGAAATTAATTTATTTTGCAACCCCTTAGAAACACGCGATCTAACCCATGATCGAGCTACGATCCAGCCTATCACCATGCAGCATAGAAATTGTAATTTCTAAATAAAAATGATATACGATATTAAAATTACAATTTTTGGATAAGATCGATACACGCTGTTACAATTACTATCGCTAAATAAAAATGTAACATTAAAAATTATAACTCCTTATGGAATTGTTGTCGCTAGATTGGAATTACGTTTCTCGACTAAAATTGATACTCGACATTTGAGTTACGATTCTTGAATAAAATTCATCCACAACGTTAGAATTAGAATTTCTGAATGAAATTGATACACGATATTGAACTTACGATTGCCGAATAAAATTCGTTACATGACACTAGAATTATAATACCCGAATAAGATTGACTCACGACTCGTTCCATCAAAATTCACCAGGGATGTAGTTAGCTTTCCGAAACCTCGCGGCTCTAATTAATTCATGTCTCGAACATTGCCTCCAGTCGAGGATACAGTGTATGGCCACATCGTAGAGAGACTAGGTCAAGGAGAATCACTCGTGGTACTCTCTCGTGCCGCTCCTTTGCGAAACGCAATACTCCTCAGCTGATTGCAATATTTATTTTCGTTCGTCGGACGTACGCGAGCCGACATCGAAGAGGTTGCTTTCCCGGCGTGTGCCATCCGGAATTATCAGATCTGATCAGTGATTTAACGATCGATAATAAATTCGAGTAACTCGTGTGATGATAGCTTCTCTTCCTTTTCCTTTTTCTTTCAAACGTGTTGTCGAACAGTTGTACGATCAGATAAGAAAACGATATAAAATATGAGATACGAGATAAAATATGAATTATATGAGAAATAAAATAACGGAGGATTTGATTATACGAATGTAACCAGCAGTACTCATACGTATCGTGTAATCCGCTTGGGATTATTTCACGATAGATCGTTGTGCGTTAAGTAGTTCAATTTGTCGTAATATTGCGAGCATCATTGGGCTGATATAACTGACAGAACGTTAAGATTAATTCTAGACTTCGGAATCTTCTCTTCGAATTTAGAATTCTGATTTTCAGAATATGCGTAAGAATGGCTACTTTTACGTTCACTGAAAAGAGTAATTTAAATTGAAATTCGATTTAAATTTGAAGATACGTAGGAACGGCCTTTTCTCGAATGGATTATTTAACTTGATTTTGAGAAGCTTTTTTAAAAAAATAGATTATTATTTGGAAAGTAGGAAAAACTGGTATAATTTCTTGATTAACTAAAATGGCAGTGAAAGTACTATATTACTATAAAATTATCGCTAATTTTATTCCTATGTTAGTTAAAATATAATTAATTTTAGAATTAATGAAAGAATAAGACAATAAAGTAGTTGAAAAACTAGCACACAGACCATAAACATAGAAAAGAGGTAACAGAATTTTTTAATCATTTAAAAAAGCAATGCAAGCATTACTATTGAAATATTTAGTTGTTTGATTGTTAATCAAGAGTAGAAAATGATTATCAATGAATAAATGGAAGGATTATAAGTTAAAAAGATAATTCAAAATAGATAAAAAATTTTATTATTTACAAAGACTGTAGAAACATTAATTCGATTGTGAATAACAATTAAGAAAAGATTATTAGTGAGTAATTGAACAGTTACGACGAAACAGTTGTAAATTAATTTACCTCGAGTATTAATAGTCTATAAAAAATATCTATAAAAGGACACAGAAGAATAAAAAACAAAAGAATAATAAGAAATAAGTAACATATCTGATGATTAAAAAGGCTAAATATTCGGAATTTTGCAGCGTGATGCATAATTAAAATTCCATGAAGGGTAAAGAGAGAAATTACCGAGTAAAGATCCTTGGTTGACCATATCCGAGTGCTTTCTCTTTTCCGCCTCCCCTGTATCCTCTATACATTCCAACATACTAGTCTTGCAACCCATCCTCCAAGCAATTTCTCACCTCGTGCACAATTCTTTGTTCCTCTTTGACATATCGTTCACAGTTCATTGACTGGATTCTAGAAAAAAAAAAAAAAAGAAAAAAAGAAAGATAGTTGCTGTTATAAATCCTGTTATAATAAGTTAGGTTACAGTACTTCTTCCAATATTTTTTTGTCGAAGGAAGGATCTACTAAGATACACGTATATAAAGGGAGCTTATCAAATTAAATTACCTAAGAGATAAAATCGCTAAGAATTAATCAAATTATCCAAATCAATTATCCAAATTAAATTCGCCAAGAAATCAAATTTTCGAGAATTACAAAAATTATTCAAGCAAATATCCACAGTAAATTCTCTAAGAACTGGAACTGTCATGATTTATTAAAATTCACAAATAAATTATCCGAATCGAATTCTCTAAGATATGAAACTGGTAAAAAATCATGAAAAATTGGCAAATCAATTATTCGAATTAAGTTATATTTACAGAGATAACGTTCCATTCACATACAAAGATAACAGAAAATTTCTTTGCAAATATTTATGATACATGAATATTTACGATAGGGAAAAGATTCACGACAAGAAACGTGACTCGTGACAGGCATAATTAATTCGAAAACGAGAATTCGGCATGTTCGAGAAATGCAAACAGGTTGAACGTTCCTCCTCAATGCCGTGGAACAAGTTCGAGAACGATGTGCATACATACGTACGTATGCTGGTAGTACAGGAAGTATCGAGTGAGAAAGAGACTGGATCAGAATGAGTAGGCAATTCTGAATATTCATGAGGCATTTACAACACTATTGAACATAAAACAGCATGTTTGTAAATTGACCGAAAACAATTGAAACTTACCATGAAAAACGTGTACAAGGTGAATTTGGTTTTCATGATTCTTGAAGAGTGCATGATAATAGAAAGGATGAAGTTCTTGCATGGTTTGAGCACTTGAAAGTGTTTAACACTGATTGACACTAAATTACACGAGACATGTTTCTTACTGCACAAATTATTCCTTTGGTTTAAAATTTTTCATTGAAAACTGCAATTACACGAAGTTCCTTTATGGTGATGAGATCCCTTATAATGACATTGTACGACGAAGAAAAATTAGGCTTATCGAAAGGAATTACCAGGCGTAAAGATTCATAGATTTTAAGAAATTACTATAGATATTTTCGTATAGCTCTTTACGGCATTAACATAATATAACGTTGTAGATTATTTGAAAGAGATATTGCTAAGATGAAGTTATTCGAAAGATCAAGAAATTGATAAGTTCTTCAGAATAAAATTACGTGATACGTAGGAAAATAAGTTCTATCGCTTAAGAAAATTAGCCAGTAACACAGATAAATTAGATTAAAAATGAGAATAAGCTAGCAAAAATACTGAGATATTATAAATAGAATACTTTAGTAATATTACTCATATGAAATCAAGAATCAGCAACATAACTTAATTACTTTAAAGAATTTAAACATTCTACCGTTTTCCAAAAATTCAAAAATTATCCTAATATGAAATAAAAGATTAGTATAAGCCGCATAGTAAAATTAACGTAAATCATTTAATATAGATCATCGAAAAAGATAATGTTTGAATGAAGTATCAATCTTTTACAAATCTTTTACTCAATACACACCGCTGAACAAAATTTAGAAGCAAGTTGGAATTCTCAAACGAGCACCAGCTACTCACGACGAATGTATTATAACAATATTATAACATTCTTTGCAAAATTACAAATTCATTTGTATTGAATCGATATTATACGCAAACACGATTTCCTGCACAAACCGATATTCCACATTCATGAATGTTCCAACACCTAATTTTAGTGAAAACTTCAATTTAACTGGAAAAACTCGAAATACTCACTAGCACGAGAACGCCGAAACAGAAACTGAAAATTACCATCAGCCAGCTTTATTCGTAGCCCAACTAACAAACTGAAAGAGTCATTTTGTCTGACACTGAACCGGACGACACGAAAGCCAGCTCGAGAATCACAGACACGCGCTTTCAATCGCTGACATTCTTCTCTTTATCTTATCACACAAGCCTGTAGTCTACAGGCTGTGGAGATCACCAATACCAAAAATTCCTACATCCAAAACTCGCTCAAACAACAAATTCACGTCACAAACTCCACCCGATTTCGGTTTATTTCACGATCGTAATTTCTTCGACCATCCTAAACAACGTTTGATCGACGTAACCGCGAGGATTACATCGCGTTACTAAACACGTAAACACGTCATCTGTGCACGAGAAAATTTACGTTTTGCTTGCTTGAGAGTCGGAGAGAGAAAGAGAGGAAGAGATAGATGGAATTTAATCTAAATCTCGGACAACACGTTAAGAATTAAAAATTTCGAAGAAAAGTAACGACAATAGGCTGTCAATGAACGATAGATCCTCTTGGACGTAGACCAAATTGAGAAATCATCGAGTTTGTCAATCGATAGTTCGGTCCCGATCGAGATCGCGTTTCAACATTGGCTCGAAGCTTCCCAGAGACATTTAGACCTCGAGGCCGCACATTCCTCGTCAACCATCCGATATTTATTGCTGTCTGTTTGTTCCCACTCGCGAGTAATTAATGTCAACTTTCAGCTTTCTGATTCGAAACATCTCCAAAAGTTTTATTCTCCAAAATTAGAATTATTGATCGACGACGAAATATTTTCTATTAAATTCCTTGTTTTCCCCTATTTTGTTCCAAGTTGCTCACGATATTTTAAAAGTTCCGTAAATTAAAAGTTCCATTACAAGTACACGAGAAAACAGTACACAGTGAGGATTGATCGATGGACGACTAGACGAATCACGTTTTCATCGACGATTTTTCAACCACGATCGACCGATCCATTGTTAGGCGACACAGTATCCCGAGATGTGCACGAAGTTTTAATAAAGCTAGGCCCAGTTGTGTAGACTGCATGGTGGCCTCGAATCCACTGACTAAAGTTCGCGATTCCACGAGGACAATGTGAGCTGAAGAGGCCACAGGTCGGGATGCCTCAGCCCCTCTTCTTCTTGAGCACGTAGCCAAATTATTTTGTTTGCTCTGTGGTACTGCGTCGACGCCAGGGGATCTCTTCTTTTCTTTAAGGGCACGTTCGCACTACGTGACATATGATTTATTCGTTTATTAGAGTTTGTTTTGATAAGCAAAAAAAAATATCTGTTACGAAATTTTTGGTAAATATCTTTTCGAGATAAAATTGATCGGTGACAGATTACATTTTTATAAGGAAAGGAAAGGATATTATTTACAGGTTTCTTCTTAGGCTTCAAATTGATATAACTGCAAAGTATTTCTTGGTAAATATCCTTTAAAGATAAAATTGATAGTTTACAAGGACCTTTATAAGGATGTTACGCGTGACAAACGATTCTTTAGCTTTCTTGTTAGGTTTAAGTTTACTATAACCAGATGATGTTAAAATTGATAAGATTAAAATTAAGATTAAGATTACCATTCTTCGATAACAAGATAAAATTGATCGATGTCTAAGTTTATCCTCATAAGGATGTTTCATGTAAAAGAGAATTTTTTTAATTTAGATTTCTTGGCAGATTTAAAGTTGGTGTAACTAGATGTTTTTAATTGATACATCCCTGATAGTTCATATCTTCGTAAGGACGTTTTATGATAAAGAGTGCTTTTTTCGATAGATTCATCGATAGGGTTGAAGTTGAGCTAAAGTAGAAATTTTAGAAAGGTATATATATGTATATATATAGGTTGCATTAGGTAGAATTAGCGAGATAATGATTGAAATATTAGCAATTAAATCTATAGATAATGTCCATAACTACTATGATACTAACTATGATAGTTTCCCAAAAAATAATATCGTTTCAGGAAATTAATGATTAGAATGTTAAAAAGATAAATGTACGCCCATTAACGAAATTAATTGCGGCAACATCTTGAAGAGCAACATAAACCATTAGCAAAGATTAATCGCAGAAACTAACGTAGTTTCTCCAACAAAATTAATGGATACAGTGTTTTGGAAGCTATCGCGGATTATTTAGTTAGAATAGTCAAAAACACTAGAAGTAGAATTCGATGTGAAATATTTTTAGCGTTTTATCGAGAAAGAGGATTCTAAGAGGACTCTAAGAGTAATAGCAAAAAAGATCGTGTATCTTAAAAAGTTTATTAATCATTTAGAAAATAGAAAACAAATATTTTAATTTTATTCTCCATAGCTTCTAAAGTGAATCACGAACGATTAAATGACACTGTAGAGACAATAGACATGATTAATTAAGATGCATACAGTTAGACAATGAAATTATCTTACGTATGTTATTTAATAATTCATAGCTTGATCGTATTTTACTGGATTGAGAAGATACTAATGATATTTTTGATGAATCGATAGATACAACACGGATAGAATAATAATAGGTACAGTGGCATGAGATAGTGTATGATAGGTTTGCAGCACGATACGAATGTCACGTTATGAAACATTGAACAGAATCTCCTTGAAAACATCATTCGATTTGAAAGGCTAATATTGCACACTGTCTGAATAGTAAACAGCAATTGCACTCGTGACCCGTTTGGTTTTGCAGAAGTTCAAAACGCAGTGTAGAGATAAAAAAAAGCTGGATTGGTTTAATACGAACTTTTAAAATGCAAAACCCTTTAACCTGCTGTTTGGGTGTTTATTAATGCAGCTTTTTATATTAATACTATTTGCTTAAGAAGGTTATAGAAAGGTGAAGAAAGTGTTGGTACGAAGTAGAAAATATAAAATAGCATCAAATAGAATTAACATATATATGTATAATCTCTGCATGTAAAAAAGAATTTAATAGGAAATAAGAAGATATAGTTATAAGAGAGAAAGCGAGTGTTTCGTCCGAGATCTGTTAGTATGGACTCTTCAGTGAGGTTTACCTAAGACAGTAAGGCTTAGACACAATGAGAGAAGAGAGAAAGAGATATAGTTATAATATATACGAAATATAAAATTAAGTACTGATATCTAAAATATAAAATGAACTGTCTATTTCGAAAGATTCGAAGCATCTGCCAGAAGAAAATATAGAAAATCGTTTCATGAAATAACAACATAATGTGTCTCCCAAAGACGGAAAAATAATAATAATATATAAATTGAATTAGAGAGATCTCAATCTGGATGGAATCTTCGAATCTAAATGGAAAAGAAAGTAAAACAAAGATTCGTTAAATTTCGTAAGATTGTTAAATTTTAAGTATTCATAAAAAGAGAGTACAGCAATTTATTTTAGATATAAAATAATAACACGATATATCTTCGCACAAACGTAAAATATTTAATAGGATACAGGTTGTCAAAATGTGAAAGGTCATAAACTGATAGATCCATTTCAAAATGCATCTAGAAAATCCTTTTCCCATAAAGATTGATTCCCATAAAAATTGTGGCATACAGACAAGTCGAAATTACAAAATTAAAGATCCATTTCAAAATCTATCTAATAAAGTTCTCAGTATTATTTTATAAATTAATAAGACGATATCTTCCTCTGGAAAAATACAAAAATTAGTAGGATATAAGTTGAACTGTTTGAAATTGAAACTTTAGATTGCACAAAAATTTATATGTTTGAACAAAGAGGACTATAGAAGAAGAAATTATATGCTTGGCTACAATCAAAGAAACTTAGCGAGTATCTAGAATTTGAGTGTGACAAATAATAAGATCATTCGATAATTGTTATTATGAATTTACCTAGCGGTAGTACAAAGCGATTATTTGTCTAGGGGCGCTTTAGTTTCCTTGGCAGAAATTATCTTTGCTTGTGACCTCACTGTAATGCGTTTATATCTAATTGTTTTTCTCGTTGCACCTTCGTTGTGGAACTGTATCTTGCACATGGCGTTTAAATTAATACACCTTTCCAGATGACTATACGCGACTGAAGTAAATATTCGTTCTGAAAGTTTTAGGATCGTAAATATTCAAATAAAATCCTTCGCTGCTTGTTACTCTTTCTCTTATTGTTAATTTAAACGTTAAAAAAGTTTCGCCCTCTTCGTCCGAAAATTTGGAAAATCTGGACCCATGGAAAAGATTAAGTTTTACGTTAATCGAAGTGTTTGAAGTTTGAATATTGCAAAGGATTATTAAAGTGGTTAAGGTTAAAAAGTGGGATAAAAGATAATGAAAAAAGTGATGAACCTGCACAAAGTAAAATAATAATTAAATATATTTAGAGTTTAACACCGCGGTATTGAAAATGTGTTCGCCTCTTCTATAAAACGCAGTGAATGAATGCGATCCCGACGATTTTACGGAATATCCGATAAGAATGGGTCGAGTGTTATCGAGAATCGTTTCGTTCTGCTCCACTAATTTTTTCTTTAAGCTCCACTGATCTTTCTTCTTTTATCCGTCTTGTGTGTTCGACGACAATACCGTGGGTTATTCGCGAGATCGTACCTAATTTGCTTTTAACGCGTCTACTTTTTATTTTCTCCTTTCTTCAATCCTACTTTTAATGCCATTTCACAAAGAATGTCGGTAATTGCGTAATAAAGAGCCAATACGCGATATAAAAAAAAAGAAAAGAGAGAAAAGAATTGTAATAAAGAATAAAAAGAAGCGATGTAAAAATAAAAAAAAAAAAAAAAAAAAAAGAAAAAAAAGTACATTAAAGATATTAAGAAATATGATAAACAAAGACGTACCTTCTTGCGTTTAATCGAATAGTCGCAGAATAGGAGTATAAATTAATTTGTGGTTAAAAAGTGTACATTGGATTTATTAATTAAGGGCTTTTACTTGTGAATAATCGTTGCGCAGTTAATTGATAATTATTATAATCTAAATGAACTTATTTACGTAAAATTATTATAATACTTAAAACAAGAAAGTTAAAGTAAGAATAAATTATAGAACTAAATTGCTTCATTTAAATGAAGAAAAAATAAGAATTGCAACTTTTAAAAATAAGTTATATGTTTCTTAAAATATTTGAAAAATATCCTATTGTATTTCTTATGAATAATAGTAGCCATCAGAAATCGAGAATACAACGATGGTTAGCACCCCAAGATTAATACAAGCAAACAACTATGAAGAATAACAAAGGAGGTACGAGAATATTAATGAAAAATTTAAATGTTCAATATATTTTTAAAATGCAATAAAAGTAATAAACGAAATAAAAATAGTTTCTCGTTATTAACCTCTGTATTTGTTGTGTTTCCACATTTAACACTCAATATATTAATCTCAATTTTATTTTCTCGTAAATACAAAAAACCTAACTGCTTATTTATTTATAAACATTATCTTTTATTTTTACTTAAAAAACGATTTTAATAAAATAAAAGTGTAATTTAAAAACCAGCGTAAACAAATTCGAGAGGCGAAATTGCTGAAATGTTCGAAGGATTAAGATTAATCTGCAGAAAGGAATTATTATTACAAAATTTACTCTAAGTTAACGACGACGACGACAACGACGATGACGACGACGACGTTATTTAGAATTTACAAAGAAGAGCAGGCCAGTCCATTTTTGATCTTCGTAATTAAGAAAAAAGGATAAACTGGAGATGTAATTAGTCATATCCGCATTAAGGTGAATCATACCCACATTGAGGAATATATCGTAATAATGCTAATGATGGACATGTAACTAGTTAAATATATAATGCTTACCAATGGCAATGAATGTTTGCTCTTCCAATACTAACCGTAAGTTCAATTAAATATATTACCTTTCTTTTTATTTTTTTTTATAAGTGGGGCAATCCTGACGGACACCTTGCCGCTTTTCTGGAAAGCGACAGGGTAGCGTCGGACTTACCGATTACAACCGCCGGGTGGCCTACCTAACGCCCAACAGGAGTGTTCCGAGACCGAATTCAAATTACTGTCGGAGCACTCCTGCGTCTTCTCTCATTCCGAGGGAGCCATTCCTCCGGTCAAGTTTGAGCATTGAGAGGGACCACACCTCTCGATGCTATCCCCTGGGTCGTCGTATAAGTCCGATGTACAGGACCCGGGAACAAACGATTCCCTCATATAGTCAGCACACTTCGACCCTGGTCCCACTGATATTCAGCAGCAAGCTACATAAGCCGTTGGCTGCTGCCGTCACTTTGGGGACCAAGTGCTTGAAGTGCGGCCTGAACGTCCATTGATTGTCGATGGTGAGGCCCAGATTTTCATCCGAAGCCCCACCTCGACATCCTGTCCGTTTATATCCAAACACAGGCCGGGCGGAGGAGCCTCCCTATGCCACCAGTCGTAAAACCAAGTGGCCTCCGACTTGGCTAGGGACATGCTGAGGTCCAGCCTGAATTAAATGTATTATCTATCTATTATTTACTTATCTATCTTTCTACTATCTCTTGTTAAAACTTGCTATGTGTTAACCAAATTCATTATACGTAACCGATATTTGATAGAGGTATGCATTACTAATTCTAACTTCGCAGGATATCTTAACAATAATTAAATTCTAAGAGATAATTCTAAGAGTAACTACTCCTATGTTGGATGCAGTTAATGCGGTCATTGCACAGTAAGAATATTTAACATAAGAGTAAATTAACGGTAAAAAATACGAGTAACTCTGGGTGAAGAGATTAAGTGATAAAACGATAAAATGGAACTGATAGAGTGATGTTATATCGTTGGTAAATATTCTTGTTTTTCGCTCATTCATTGTATGAGTCCCTCAGAGAATCCATGCTGATCAAACTGGCCATATATTGGACAATTACAAATATTACTTTCTAAAATTTAGCTTAGTATTCTTTTTCTAAAATGTTCAATCTTAATATGATCAGTTTGGCTTCTGGGAGGTTCATATATTCTCTGTCATTAAAAAATTCAAAAAAAAAAAAAAAAAAAAAAAAAAAAAAAAAAAAAATAGAGGGAAGGAAAGAAACATAAGATAATATACGAAAGTCTATAAGTGTAAGTCTGTATACTCCCATCTATGTTGAAATAAGGTAGAAAATAATTTAATTTAATGTAACTCAACCATAAAGTAATTGAAGGTATGTATACGCTAAAATGTTCTGTATCACATAGCACATAGTTCAACTGTAATCGTTAATTAAAAGATGAAATGCACGAATGGCGTAATAATGGGAATCATTATTTTGCTCCGTTCCCTTAGAATCTTTTAATGTTCCAGGAACAATTCAAATTTTTCCAGCGACACGAAGTTGCGAACGAAGAACAAATGCTAATAGTCAGATGTTCGATATATTTCGAAAACTGCAGTTTCTTTTTTTAATGAACCTTCAACGAGAAATATTTGTAATTCAACTTTTTTTTTTAATTATTCAGTGATATGTCCGGGCATTTTGTCGGTCAGTAAGTTCCGTACAATGATAAATCAAGAAGTGATTGACGATCGTGTATCTTGACATTATGCAAAATAGCAGAGAGGTGAGAAGAATCAATCATGGGCATTTTGCTTGGTTATATAAGGTTCGTTAACTCACTTGAGTCATTTGTAATTTCTGTTACCATCGTTGGTCCAAATCTTAAATTAAAATTATAATTACAATTTCAACGATATAATTTAATTATAAACAAATGTACGAAAGATAAAAAATAATAGGAAAAAAATGTATAGAAAAAAGTAACACAAAATTTCAACTGGCCTAACGTAAGAAGATTATTTAACACTTTTATAGATTTTAGAATTTTAATAAACTTATTCTTCAGAAACGCTAATAATTTGATCATCCAAGGATAATAATTTAATTTAACGACCCCGTGAAAGAGAGTTATATTTCACACGGTATAAACGGAATTTTTTAACAAGGTCCTATGTCAAGAAAAGTGCGTTAAACCATTACCCGCTGTACAAGCATATTTACCAGAGGGTTGTCTACGATTCTGCGTGGATCGCGTGGCTCTGAAAGATTGGTCCCCGATATTGAAAAGCATCGCCGAGAGTCGAAATCTGTCGAAAATCAATATCTATAGCCGAAGTCGTTGCAAACGAGTACGTGAGAAAGTGAATACGGAGGAGAAGCTTGAGAAATTATGGTATCTACCGTATAATTCTGAACGTCATGTCAGACAAATTTAACCGAACTTTGTAAGAAACGTAAAACTGGCAGTCACGAATCATACTTAAACAAAGTAAAAGTGGTATTACGTAAAGACAGATTGCTACTACGAAAAGACATAAAATTATCGTGTGGAAAATTATGAATAGTCCTAGAGGCTCGAATATTTCGAAATTTAATTAAGGTACTTCATCTAAATATTTTGCAATCAAATACTTTATGACAATTAAATTTATAGAATTGTTCGATTTCGTTGTATCCCCAAGCTTAAATATCCCAAGGTACTTCATCTATATATCTTGCAATCAAACATTTTATGAGAATTAAATTTAGAGAAATGTCTGATTTCGTTGCATCCCCAAGCTTAAACTTCCTAAGCTTTGCTCTAACACTACAGCGGCGTCGTCTTTCCACGTAGCACAAGTGCTCTGAAATTTTCCTGTTCTTCCTGTCCCAAAATTCAGTTACTGAAACAATAAATTTTCAAGTGTTGAATTCTTCAATTTCTATATTATCAAAACGTTGAGCATAAGCGTTCTCAAACTTTTCAATTCCAATTCATCTTATCTCAGGAATGATTAATAAAATAATTAAAAAATTCCAATTCAGAAATTCTTCAATTTTTATATCACTATAATAAAAATTGAAACCTTTTGAATTCAAACCTTTTTATCTCCAGACTAATTACGAAAACAGTACAAAATTTCAGAAATTCTTCAGTTTCTACATTATTAGATTCTTAAGCACACCAAAAAATCAAATTATATTGCTATAGAAATAAAAACAGGACCTACATTAAATTTTTTCTATGCCTAAGATTGAAATTTCTACGCTTGAAGGGTGAATATTTAATGCACAACCAGCACGAAATTATATTCGAGAGATATATTTTCCTTGCGGATACTACTGCCAGAAAGTTTAAGCTTGCAGGTCTGCATCTCCTGGACTGAATGGAAAGAGAGAAAAGAGAGATTTAAATGGAAAGGGAACGATCTAAAGGAATGTGGAACCAGAGGAGGGACAAAATGAAGGCCGGAGAAAGACAGGAGGAGAGGGATAAACGAAGGAAAAGGCCAGAATCTCCCAATATGAATAATATAGAGAAAGTTAGAATATAAACAAAAAAGAAAGACGTTGATACCCTAGACTGGCATTTGATGACACGTCCAGGCGATGCAAAGGAAAGGATCAAGCAAGGCCAGTCATCTACACTAACTTCCTGTTGCGCTGTCTCGTCGACTCCATCGCTGTTTGCGCGAGGGTTTCTTCCGCCATCACCTCCATCACTCTCGATGGGATTCCGTTATCTCTCAAGTACCTCAACATCCTCTGTTGCGGTTTGAAGAACAACGAGAAGCTAATTAATCTATCTTTGACGAAGTGTCATATAGGAGACGTCGGTTAGTATCATTTTCTGACTTTTTAACACGTAATAATCATTGTTTTAATTTTTATATTACTATCTTTTCCTTAACTCAGTAGTATTCTAATGTTTTACTTTAAAAACACAAATTATATGCATTTTATTTCGAGTCACTCTTGTGCTATTCGTCAACCTTTTACGAAATAGTTTTAGTGATTGTCCACTTCTTTTGTTGATTCAGGTTGTGATTTGTTGTTGGGCTGTTTGAGGAACAATCCAAAATTGTGTGTATTAAATTTATCGTCCTGCCGGCTGTCGAACAGAAGTGCCATGTGCCTGTCCCTGTTCTTGAAGAGAAGGAAGGCTGATCTGTTGCAGAATGTTTGGGAACAGTCCTCTGTACAATCTCCGGAAGAAAATTCTGACAAGAAGGTGGTGATCAACTTTATTGTATATTATGAGAGACTATAGATACGTGTTTATATAACAAGTCCAAATTATAGTAACCGTAACTAGTAGACTGCAGATGTCTATGCATTTGTGAGACATTTCAAGGTGTAACAATGTAGAGAATGCACATGATACACTGTAAGATATGTAAAATATCTAAAATACACTAGTCGCTGTAATACTTGAAGTAAAAGTGAAAGAAATTTGTATACAGTTTCCACCTGCAGTCTAATGTGATTAGATTCCAGCAATTATGTTCACAAAAAATGTAAATTTGCATAACTGTCTGTAGACTACATTCAGGACGTGAATTATATTGTTCAAGATAACAGAATTGTATTGTAATTTATTGAACTCCTTTTTCTTCAGCCCCAGGGATTGCACACGTTGATTCTGAACCAAAATCCAAAAATCGGGGACACCGGCTTGAGGCAGTTAGTTTATGCGTTAAAAAGCGACGTCTGGCTGAGATCGCTGAGTCTGAGGCACTGTGGGATCAGTAAACACGGAGCAGAGACGATGATTCGTCTCTTGCAAACCAACAGTAGAATTACGAAGCTAGATCTCACTGAAAATCGCATACCTATTAACACCTTACAAATGATACTGAGGATATTGAAGAGAAGGCGAGAGATGACTGAAAGTATAACGTCGAAGAAAAGATTTCGTATAGATATGAGACGAGACTTGATAAATAATAGAATTCATGAACTTATAAAACAACGTAGAAGAAGTTTACGAAATAGAACAGTGAGTTGTCGGTTTTCGCTTCTCTGTAATTTAAACAAAGCCCAAATATATTTATACATCTAATAACTTGAAAATATTAATTTGTTCAGGAAAGGCTCAACAAATATTCAACGCAGAAACGTCATTGGAAGAAGATCCATAGGTTCGAGATAAAAGTGAAACAGTCGAAGGAAATAGAAGTTCCGAAAGAGGATCAAAGTCGAAGGAAGAAACTTGGAGATTTGGAATCGCAGTTATGGAGTCTAGTCGAGTCGAATTTCAAATTGAAGGAGGAACTATCGAGCAATAAAGCGTTGCTGGATACAGAAGCGCAACAAAGATCAAAAATGGAGGACGAGTTGCAAAAAGTGTCGCTTCGGTTAAACGACCTTAAAAGCAAAGTCGTTATGTTAGATTGTGTTTCCTCGAATGCTTGTAACGAAAGTCGCTTATTGAAGGGACTGAAGTACATTTTTGACAAATTGGAATCATTTTCGACAGCGAGGCAGAAGGATATAAACGAGGAAGTTCTTTTGAATCCTGTGGAGCCATTATGGTCATCGCCATTGACACAACAAATGGAGAATAGTTTCGCGAATTGCTTGCAACAGACTAACGTAGCTTTGTTCCCCGTTGAAAATATCACGATGTGAATTTCAGATAATTTTTGTAGATATATATATATAAATAACATACAAATTACTTTTATGAAGTCTATTTTAATAAAAGAAGCGTTTTATATCATTTTGAATTGTATTTTTACGGTGGTATTGTAAGAATAAATGTTTGGTAAAGAGAACATGGCAATTTTTCTTACCTTTTCTTATCCTTCAGTTTTAATCCTCTCAATAATTCATCAAACCAATTAACAAACTTCAAATTTCGATTTAAGAATTTTCATTCTGTTCAAAAGTTTTCGTCGAGTACCATTCTTCTTAGATTTGGAATATAATTGCGAAGTAATAATGGTAAAATTATAAAAAGCAATTAGGAATGGGATAAATTCTTCTAATAAGATTAATATTTGTTAGTATTTGTAAAAAGGATAGAGTCATTA